GTGTGCGTGCGTGTCCGTTCTTGCTTCTTTCGAGGGGTGTGCCAGATAGGATTTAAAAAATCAGACAATGTGGCATAGTCAAAGAAGTACCCTTCTGAGGAGTCTACTGTCACACCATGAATAGCACTGAGATTCTATAGACTCTTCTAGTTTTATGATCCTTTACTCTCTCTCTCCCCCCACCCCCTCATCCCTTTCTCCCCCCTCTCTCTCTCAATGAATCTATCTATCTATCTATCTATCTATCTATCTATCTATCTATCTATCTATCTATCACACATACACACACGCACTCTCTCTCACACCGTTTGACTCTTCCCCTTCGCCCTCTCTCTCCTTCTCTCTCTCTTGTTTTCTCTCTCTCTCTCTCTCTCTCTCTCTCTCTCTCTCTCTCTTTTCTCTTTTCTCCTACCTAGATTAAGACTGTCGCAGATAGCTTCCACAGAGACATCACCGTGCCAGATAACATACGCCACAAAGAGTGTGGCTAGCAGAGAGGCTGACGTCATAGTACTTTAGTGGTTGGAACTACTTCCTGTTGGAAAGAAAAAAACAACACACAAACAGAAACAAAAACAATGAAAACCAGAGTAGGCCTACTCAACATAAAGTCATCATCATCATCAATGCCTCTCACCCCTGGCAGGGTATAGGCCATATACAAGTTCCTTCCATTTATCTTTGTCCTGGGCCATCCTTCCCAGCTCGTTCCAAGTGAGCTTCATCTCTCTCATGTCCCTTTCCACACATCTCCTCCGTGTTTCCCTTGGCCTACCCCTGCCTCGTGCTCCCTCGTGATGTTTCCGATGGGCTCTCTGAGGGTGTGTTCCATCCAACAACACTGTCTTAGTCCTATTGCTACTTCTATATCCTTTTGTCCTGTCCTTTCCCACAGCTCTTCATTTCTTATTCTATCCTGCCACTTAATTCTTAGGATACTCCTCATACATCTGTTGACGAAAGTCTGGACTTTATTCAGCACTGTCTTTGTTGTGTTCCATGTTTCGCAGCCATAAAGAGTACAGACTTCACATTGGAATGAAAGAGTCGAATCTTGGTGCGCAGTGAGAAGTTGCTTGCTTTCAAGACTTTTGATAACTGCTTGAAGGCTGACCTTGCCTTGGCGGTTCTTGCTTTTACATCTGCCTCTGTTCCACCTTTAACATCGATGACACTTCCAAGGTAGGTAAAGGAGTCCACTTGTTCTAGGGGAGTGTCTTCCACTGTTACAGCAGGACTTTTCCTAGCTTCACTACATTCGACTTGCCCGGGGGTATACGTAGGCCAACACTCCTTGATAGGCTGTTGAGGTCCTTGATCCTTGATCTTTTCTTGCATCTGAGCATATGTGTGAGAGAGCAGTGCAAGGTCATTGGTGAAGTCCAAGCTGCTGCCAAGGGATCCACTGTATTTCATTGCGCAGGCCTCTGGTGGCTTCTTTCATGACTCAGTCAATTGTCAGTATGAAGAGAAAAGATGAAAGACAAGCATCCTTGTCGCACCCCTCTGTCTGTACCTTGAATGGTTCTTTGAGTTGTCCCGCGTGGAAGACTTGGCAGTTTGTTCCATCATAGGTGGTCTTCACAAGCTTGACGATTTTGTCAGGTTTTCCATAATGCCGCATGAGTTTCTGCAGAGTTTCTCTGTCCACGTTGTCACCTAGGAACTATTCGGAGACGTACTCCCGCACACAGATGCACTGCTTT